CAAGGTGGTGGTTCAGCAGTGATAACTGCTTGTGTTTTCTGCATCAGGACACAGTTCCAGGGGCCCAGAATTTGCACCTGAAATTTCAGGAACAGACTGAAGCCACTGGTCAAATATGATAGTCTGGCTCTTTTCATTTTACTGTTGTTTCTGGCTCAGGGAAGACTGCTGCCTCTGCGTTTCATCCAAGCAAGCAGTCGTACTAATAAGATGACTGAGAAGCTCTAGGATTCTTTCCCTTCCTCATGTTGTCTTTTTTAAAAAAAAAAATTTATTTCAGAGAGAAGGGAGAGAGATATAAAAACATCAATGATGAGAGGGAGAATCATTGATCAGCTGCCTCCTGCACATCCCAGGCATATGCCCTGACCAGGAATCAAACCACAATCTCCTGGATCCTAGGCTCAACCACTAAGCCACGCCAGTCGGGCCTCATGTTGTCTTTTGACTGAAAACTTAGCCTTTGGCCATAGCCCCATCAGGAATCTTAGGACTAAAAAACACATGTTAGAGATTTACCAGTGCAACGTGCATGGCATTAACACACACTGTGCAGGTTAAGGACTGAGGCTGCTTCCCAGGGGAGCCATGGTTCCACGTGTCTCTCTGGCAGAGTGGCCCCAGATTCATTCTCAGAAATTGCCAGGGGTGGGAGGACAAGCACATCCTGGAAGGGCGTGAATGTCCACAGTGGGCTGCTAGGAGAGCCCTATACACTTGCCTGCTTGGGAGAAATCCTGTTATTTAGAAGAGGAGTGTCCTTTTTCTCCAGGTGCCCTATGCAGAGGGCAACATTTACCTTTCAAATGTGTATTCGTTTTCGGCCCGGAAGTAGTACACATGGGACTTGAAATGCAGCTTGAACACGTAATCTTTGTGGATGTCCTCAGACTCCGACGGAATGGTAAGCGAATATCCAAGCAGGGGCAGGCTGGCAAGGGGGTGATTGTCCTGGAGGGTCAACAGAGGTGGATTTGGAGAGGCGGTCACAGGCATTGAGGCCGGCTGCAGCCTCTCACCCTGAAGCAGCTCTGGGAGCCAAGGCAGCTGGTCCTGGTTGGTGCTCCATGGTCCAGCTAGTGTATCCCAGCCAGGACACGAGCCATCAATTCAAACCTCCCCTCTCCCCAACCAACACCCAGGTTCCCTTTCAGCAGATGGATGTCAGCCTTCACCTGAGAGCTGTGGGTCTCATGGATGTGGCTTCCTGCAGGCCCCCTTCCAACACCTGGCAGCTCCATGCCTGCCCGGTGGGTCAAGAACAAAGTTCTTTGTCCCGTGAGAGGGGAGGCTGCAGTGTCGGGTCCCTAAGGGCCTCCCCAGCCTGCACACTAAATGCTCTGTCCCAAGGGTTACAGGGCCGCTTGCTCTGGGAGGCACTTACCTGGTGTGACTTGTAGAAGAACAGGCAGAAGTTTGTGAACACCACCCACAGCTTCTGCCACCCGTTGCTGTTTTTGAATTTCCTCAGCAGGTTCCCAGATAACTGATTCTGAAAGACAAGTAGGCCTGTAAGAAGTACAGGTTGGGGCCCCCAGTGGGGTGCAGCCCGGTCCTGTGGAAAGGACCACTCAGTCTCACAGTCCAGTGAGGCTACAGTCACTTGACAGGCCCACTGGTAGGGCTGTGATTCCGAGAATAGGCTGCCTGCAACTGGCTTGAGAAAACGGCCTTTTCTCCCTGGGAAATGGAGAAACTCTGGGAGGTGGACTACATGAGCCTGATTTGCAGTCCACATATTACGGATTGAATTATGTCTCCCATCCTCCCAAAAGATGTGCTAACCGCCAGTACCTCAGAATATGGCCTTGGAAACAGGGTCATCACAGCTATAATTAGTTAAGAGGCAATTGTAAGGGAGCAGAATAGGCCCTTAATCCACAATGACTGAGGTCCTTATGAGAGAGGAGGGCCAGGCTGCAGTGATGCATCTACCAGCCAAAGAACATCAAGAATGGCCAGCACACCATAGAAGTGGGAGAGGCAGAGAAGGATCCTCCCCAAGAAGTTTTAGAGGGAGTGTGGCCCTCTTGACAGCTCGATTTCCAGAATAGAGACAAATCTGTTTAAGCCGCCCAGTTGGTGGTGCTTTGTTACGGCCCAGCGATAGTTAGGGAACCAACACCCCTCAACAATAAGCCATCACGAGCGCCACACCAGCAGCTCCTGGCTGCCATCTAGTGGCCCAGGCAGAACACTGGGTTTGGGGAGAGAAAACTGGTAGAAATAAGCCCTCTAGGGCATCCTGGTAGCTCCTCTGGTCTCCCAGAGGCTGGGGGAGCTGCAGGCACAGAGCAATACTGTGAACTCTCAGGCAGCTGAGATGGGAGGCCAAGTGCAGAGATGCATGTCCAGGCCCTGACGAGCTGGCTGGCAGCAGACTACTGGGGAGACTCACAGAGGAGGAAAATGGGTGGTGGTGATGGTCACACAACTTTGTGAATATAATTACTGCCACTGAATCGTTCACTTACAAGTGGTTAGCCAGGTCTGCCACAATTAAAACAGATACTGAGTCTACTTTATTCTATCCCTTTGGTACTTTTCCAATAATTTGTATTTAATAAGCATTTTTAAGTACCCACTTAAGGCAGGAGTTGAGATGTATAGATGTGTTTGCCCTCAAGTTGCTTACAGTCTGATGAGAGACAGAAATGAATAGTGAATCAAGCTGACAGAACAGAGGAAGTCGAGCCCATCCTGTGGACTGGAACTAAGCTGAACCCCCACGTCTGGCTGAAAGGGCACAAGAAAATGGGGTGCTCTGACCAAGCAGGTGAGAGTGAAACCGGAGTTGGGGATGTGATGCTTCACAACATCACGTTTTCAGTGAATCAAACAAATGCCCCCAGATAGAGTCCAAAAGGCCTCTCTTAGATGCAGTTATCTGTGGAATAAGAGCCAGTCCCACCCACCATGTGGTATACACACCAGATTGGGACAGGTTCGTGAGAGCGCTTTAACTTCTGCCGATACCTTAAATCCTTTCTGGAACCCGGGAAGGTATATACTCTGAATAATAGCCTAGAAGCTCCTTAAGAATTATACTCACTGGCCCTTCCCCCCATTGCCCTGGCCACCGCCTCCGAAGTTGCCACTGAAACTTCCTCCAGTACATTTCAGCCTCCTGCTCAGCTTGCCACCCCCCTAAGCTCTGCCCTCAAGAGGCCGAACCCTTCTATGAGGATGACTCTTAGGTATATCTACAGGCTGGACCAGTCTCGACCTGCTACGCTTATGAAGTGAACATCCTTGTTCCAGACGAGCCAATACCCCATTTCCTCACTACCTTTCATAGTGGTCTCCCTCAGACTCCCTGACAGAAGGAAGGCATCTTTGCTCCCAAACTGCTCAGTCCCTGTTATGTGTCCTACAAAATACATGTTCCAGTCCTGGTACCTGTGGAGGTGACCATATTTGGAAATCAGGCCTTTGCAGATGTAATCAAGTTAAGAGGAGGTCATACAGGAGCAGGGTTGTTCCTTATAAGAGGAGGACATTTTAACATGAGACTCACAGGGATGCTGCCAAGTGAGAGAGGCTAGAATGATGCTTCCACAAGCCTGCAAACACCAAGGATTGCTGGCCATCACCAGAAGATGAGGGAGGCGTGGGACAGAGCCTCTTCCCTAGGGCCTCCAGCAGGAGCCAACCCTGCCAACACTGCCAACACCTTGCTCTCAGACTGCTGGCCTCCAGCAGTGTTAGAAGACAGTCCCCACCCTTGATTCTCCCTCTCAGTGCTGTCCCCTCCCCATCCTGATCCTCACCTGTATCCAGATCTCCGCTGCCCCCTAACTCAAGTCTTAAAAATCAACTTGGATCATTTCACCTCCGATCCCTCCAAAGATGAGGCGTCCCACTGGCCATCCCAGCATGACTCCCTCACGTGGCCCCCCAGTGCCCACTGGCCTGACCAATTTCAGCTCCTCTTTGTGCTGTCCCCAAACACCCCGTTACTCATTTCTACCTGCATGAGTCCTACGGGAGACACTGGAAGAGAACGAGCAGAGGGGGATGAGACAGCAGAACCAGAAAGGAGCTGCTTCCTTCCCTCCGTCAGGCCACAGGATGGCCTGGAAGAGGAGGGGGTGGGTGCAGCATGCATCTGGCACCCGAAGGAGCCCACCATGGACACCAGACTGAAGGCATGCACCTGGGGAAGGGATCTGGTTGGGAAGGGGCATTTGCAGTGACAGATGAGTCAATTCCATGAGTGCTTAACCGGCATTGTTGCCACCTTAAAACCACACACACACGGGCTCTATAGTTCTTAGGAAACTTCTCCAAGGACCACAAAGAGGCAAAATTGGAGATACTTGTATGTGTAGTACCCATTCAAAAGTAAAATCCTGTTCTTGGTTCATGGGCTATGAACAACCAGGGCTGGGCAGGATTTGGCCTGTGGGCCACAGTCTGCTGACCCGACTGCCAGACTCACCTCACCGTGTAGACAAGGACTACAGCTGTGCAGGTTGCTGCCCCGATAAAGCTGGCCTTGAGGAGGAGTCTCTGGGCCACCCAGGACCTACCTGACTTGGGTGTTAGCTGCATTCTTGAATGTGACCTACGTGCCTCCAGGGATTAAAGAGGTTTTGAGGCCACCAGAGTCCCACGCCCTGACAGTCCTAACACCTCACAAAGGCCAGTGTGGAGTGAGGCAGACAGCTTCCCTCTAATGGCACTGCACTTCCACCAGCTTCTCTAGACAGGCTGGATCTGATTAGCTGTTTTCTCACTTGAAGACAATTACTGGTTCTTCCCCGTTCCCTCCATGCTGGAAAGATCCCTGTCCCCTGGAAGAAATATCCAGCTGGCAAGCTTTGCAAACAGAGCCAGTGTGAAGGGAGGGAGAACACCAAGTACAGTGAGCCTGTCAGGAGGGAAAAGGCTGTCCCATGGGGGCGGAGGAGGGGGAATGTTCACTGCAGCCCACACAAGGCCAGGCACAGCCGGGGAGCCTCAGATGTGTCCCCTTGATGCCTTTAGAAGCAGATATGGGTTTTAGTACACTGAGAAGGCAAACTCATGGAGCTGTGAAGGTCACCTCCAGGAAATAATCTCAGAGTCCCTATAGACTACCGTCTATCAAGAAATGCTTGACACATTCCTGATACTGTTGGTTCAAAAAGCAAACGGAACTGCTGTTCTTGACATAGTCTTATGGGACATTTTTGGAGCCAGGCAGCTTTAGGAATTCAGAACTCCCAGGTTTTAGATAATCACATGCATCTACCACATGGCACCCTGGCCATGGGGTCTGGGTGGCCACCCAGAATCAAATATGGTGATTGTGTGGTGAAACAAGTGTTCACACAAAACACAATCAGTGGCCTTAACAGCAGGTCAGGTTCTGCTGCCAGTGGGACAAGAGAAGTTAGCAGTTTTAGAGCTTTTGGTGAGACGTTTTCTGAAAGGTGAGGGATTAGGGACCTGGACTGGAGGATGCTTACGGAGTGGGACTTGGGGAGTTTTGGGAAGATTCAGTCATCATCTGGGGGAGCCCCATCACCAAAGCTAACTCAGGACAACTCCCAGAGCCCCCCCAAGAGGCCATGCCTAGTGGTTATGCATAAACTCGTGCCACAGGACTGGCTGGTATCAGCTTTTGACCCTACTGCCTCCTTGCACCCGATTTTGGTGTGTGTGGGGAGGTGGCTGCTCTAGGAAGCAGCAACCTCGGTGCAGGGAGCTCTCCATCCACCTGCACTGGGGCCTATTTGTAGGCCTCTGTGGCAGGGACACATGGCTAAACACACGGGTAGTCTCTGCCCCTCTGCTGAGCCCAGGAGAGGAAAGGAAACAGTAGAGATGGCCCAGGAAACAAAAGCTGTGGGGATGAATGAAGCACCAAGAGACGCGTTCACATCCACAGGAGGTCAGTGCTGCTTGCCCACCTGAGAGTAGAGCACAAACGCTCAAAAGGACAAGAGTCGTCCTTGCCCCCCACCTCCCTGCCCTGCCCCCACCCTCTGGGCTCAGAGCTGGTACCTCCACGGCCACGCTGAAGTCCACCATGGAGACACTGGTGTTGCGGTGCCAGCACACATGCACCATGGTGTTGCCGCGGTGGGGGGCCTGGCGCTCCAGTGAGGTGCGTGAGGCGCTGAGGTCATCCTCTGACTCCTGGTCAGCGACTGCAGCCTCATCTGGGGACTCTGTAGGAGGTGGCAAAAGGCCATGCTTTTGATCTCTACTCTCTAGTTGGGGCACTCACAGCAAAGTGGCCCTGGGGACACCCATGCAGCCACTGAGGAGGAAGTCACACTAGCAGCCATCTGCCTGTCATGGTCCCACCCTGGGGGGTGTCCCACTAGCCCTCTGCCAGGGAGCCCCCAGCACACCTGGGCACTGGCCTAAAGTGCTTGTCGAACGTGTGATGGCCTTTTCTCTCCCTTGATGGGGACATTCTGTATGACAAGCAGTGATGCTGGCCCAGAAAAGATGACTTTCCTGCTCCCTTACAGTTCTAAGGGTTTTTTATATTTTAAGGAAATTGAATTCCCTTGATTTTTAGCTTTAAATGCAAATGTAGTCAATGGCAGTGAGACCCATGGGGTAAGGTGACTTTAAATGCAATAGGCTGCTCGCCCTCTGGAAGCCAGAACTGCCCGCAGTCGGTGGCTGATTCCTGGAGGCAGTGGCCCATGGGCGGCACGGAAAGCCTCCCCACTTACTGTTGTCAGGGGGGCTGCTGGCGAGGAATTCAGGAGTGGGGCCGCTGCTTTTCTCTGCCAAATCAATGGCCATCTGTATGTCCTCAATCCACTTTTCCATCTCGGACCGGGAACTGAAGAAGAGACGGACGTCAGGTTTGCGGACCACAGCAGGTCAAAGGGTAAACAAGTAAGAGGTGCCCGCATTACCTGGCGGCCACGATGATGGACTGCCGCTGGCCCCGCAGGGTAAGGCAGTGGGGCACGCCCCACTCATCTTCGCTCTTCTCTATCTGTGGGATGAGTTTTCGTAACGTTACTGCCAAGAAGCAAGCAATACGCTCAGTGCATTTTCAAATGTTCACTAAAATGGCCACAGCTCAGAGAAACAAGTCAGAAAATCAGAAAGGGAAAAGATCAAAAGGAACTGAAATTTTTTTTGGCAGAGCGCATAAACTTCCCTTTATCCAGCCACTGAGGAGAAATGTGGGCATAAGCCAGAGAAGTCATCCTGTGCTGAATGGCCTGGTTGCATCTGCCAACCAGCATCACAGAAGATGGACACCTGTCCACTGGCACATCTTGGGCAAGGACAGGTGTCCCTGGTCTGTGTGTGGGCTCTGTGACTCCATGTGGGTGGTAAAGATGTTCTCTCAGGGCCCCTGGGGCCAGGCACAGAACAGTGAGAGGCACGTTCGCCCTGCATGGCCACGTCACCTTGCTCTTCACACTTGCTTCTAGAAGCAGGACATCCACATGTTCCACATGCAGAAGAGGAGCCAGGTCCCAGTGCCTCTCCCGGGGGCCCTCCAAGGCCCAGGGTTCCCGAGGCACCTGGGATGCACTTGCTTCCTTGTCAGGGTCCTCCTTTCCTATCTCGTGTCACTGTCACTGGCTCTTGCTCCCTTCAGCCTGGCTCTCACTGCTGGCAGCCCAGAGGGAGGGCCCCCGATCTCATGCCCACGCCGTGTACTCACAGTCATGCCATAGAGTGGGAGCTGCCCATGGACTTTAAACTGATTTGAGATCGTCAGGCCTCGGCTCGTGTACAGCAAGACGTCATTGAACTAGAAAACAAGGACAAGTGTGGCTGAGGCGCATGGGCTCCATTTGAAACCAAAAAGTTTTCAAAATCTCCCGTGACAATTTGATCTCAACTCCAATCTGAGCAGCTTTGCTGCTCCTTCTGCCTTCTAAGTGTCCGAGCCCCCCCTGCCCCCCTCCATGGGCAGGGGAGGCCTGGCCCTGTGACCCCAAGGACCACGGACCATAGGACAAACAGCTCCCACCACTTACCAAGAAAAACATGCGCTGCTGGAGCCCCTTCCCAGAGAGCTTGCTGAGGCTTCCCAGGCGAATGAATTCCTGTGGAGAAAACAGACCCTGAGAGTTGGCTGGGACCCTGGGAGCGTAAGGATCTGGGTCAACACGGAGACTCTTGCTTCCTCACACCACAGTCCCTTTCATGCAAAAATCAGCGATCATAGTAACTATTTACTGAATGCTGTGCTACACCTTCTCTAAGCTCCCCTCCTTCCCGGGAATCTGCATGGCAGGGACTGTGGGCTCGACTGTCAGAGAGGAAACCAGCAATGGTGTGCCCACTGGTTCACACTCAGGCCTACAACTATGCACTTAACCGCCCAGGCCCTGCAGGCTTCCCACTGTGAAGGGACAGGCCCTGGCCAGATACAAAGTGGCAGCAAGGAAGTGGAAGACAGAAGCCATGGGAGAGTACTATGAACAGAGACTCTTCTCCATGTCCTAAAACTCTGGTTCTCAAAAACTAGTAACTCTAGGATAACAGAGCAAGAAGCAAACGTATCTAAGGAACTCTTCCTCCGGAGCTGTAAACTCAGGGTATGAACTGTTTGGCGCCACTTAAAGAAAACCCCACAAAACTATTTTTTAAAAATCACGATATAACCACAAAAATTGCCGCTCGTGACCTTTGGTGCATGCACAGTCTGCATCCATCTCTACTGTCTAGATCCAGAACGTTTCATCACCCGAAGGGAACACTGGCCATTACGAAGTCACTCCCATTTCCCCTTCCCTTAGCACCTGGCAAACACCAACCTGTTTTGGTGTGGTTTTTTTTTTTTTTTATAACTCTAGATTTGCCTAGTCTGGGTATTTCATATAAATTAAATCATATAACATGTGGCCTCTTGTGTCTGGCTTCATTCACTTAGCATAATGTTTTCAAGTTTCCTCTAAGCTGTAGTGTGGATCAGAGCTTCAGTCCTTCCTGTGGCTAAGTATTTCATCGTATGGATAGACCATGTTTATCCATTCACCTGTTGATGGGACATTTTGGTTGTTTCCCCTTTGGCTACTGTGAATAGTGCTGCCAATGGAAACCATGTTAAAGTTTTTGTTTGAACACCTGTTCTCAATTCTTCTGGGTATATACCCAGGAGTGGAACTGCTAGGTCATATGGAAATTCTATGGTTAACCTATTGCACCTTTAAACTGTTTTCCACAGCTCTGTTTTTAAAACATAGTTGCAAGTTCTTTGACACCCGTCAGAGGCCAGGACTCTGTCCCCTTCCCTTGGATGTGGGTAGGCAGATGACAGATTTGACAAATAGAGTATGGAAGTGATGCCATGTGACCTCTAAGACTAGATCATAAAACTACATGTAGCCTCTGCTATGTCCTTAGAAACAATTGCTCTTGGAACCCTAGGTGCCACCCTGAATCCAGGCTAGCAAGACCCCTCGTGGGCGCTCTCTGCAGTCCCAGATGAGACCAGCCTCCAGCTGTCCCTGCCAGGTGTCAGCCTTGGATGTTCCAGACTAGCCCTTCTGGGACCTCTGTCATTGCGACATGGGGCAGAAGAATATGAAGGAGAGGATATGATCCCGTGTTACAAAAGGGAAGGAACGTTCCAGTGGGTGGAACATCCCAGTTCTGGTGGGGCTAAAATTTGAACCCAGGGCCACCTACTCCAAGCCAATGCTCTGTTCACAGCACCATGGAAACCTTTCTTCAAAATATATGCTTTACAGATGGTCTGTTTGCCATATAGCATAACATGCTAAATATTTTATAACATCCAAAGTTAAGAGAAAATTACATTGATTCCACAGGGCTTTACTAAGAGTTCCACGTGGATGGTAAACATGGTTATGGGCTGAGAACTGGCGGAATTTCCTCACCAGCAGAGCTGAAGCAAATCCCAGCTTTAATTTCTACCCAGCACTTTACCACATAACTCTTCTGACAACTTTTCACAAGTGGTTTTCAGTCAGTTTAGTAATTAGACTTCCCAACAGAAATACCAAATCCAAAGAGATGTCCCCGCATCTTCCCTAAGCTGCACAGGTTTCAAGTTTCCAGGGCAGCTACCTGTCAGATAAGACTGAGGGCTCCGGCATAATGGAAACGCGGGTGAAGGCGAAGGCAGGTACAGCAGATCAGAGACTAAAATTCTTTCTGAACCTGGGTGATGGACAGTTCAAAATCAGGGAGCTATAGGAGAAAGACCCCACAGTGGGATCTGGTGAGAGGTATCACCTGGCTAACAGTTTTGATTCTTAGGGAGAGGACGGAAGAAAGCCGGGCTGTGCTGCGAGGCCCGGCTTCACGGGGTGTGACCTGCCTCCTGCCGGACCCTGGCTCGGTGAGGTTTACAACACAAGTGAAACTGCATCTCTCCCGGATTCATGTTCTGGCTAAAACGCCATTTTAACTCCTAAGTAAAATTACATTGTGTACAGAAGATTGTATTTTTAAAAAATGGTTTCCATACTTACATGGGAATTTATAGCATGATTTCATTTACTAGCTTGTCCTCTGCATTTATGTCACTATTTTACCCAATTAAAAATTTTTATCTTCCATTTTCATTTACCTAAATTTTAATAAATATGCTAAGCTATCTCATATTATCTCAGAACATGGTAGGGAAAAAAAGTAAGTTAACAAATCAATAAGGAGAAGCAGAAGAGGCCAAAGGCTTGCTTTATCTCCTTCTAACATGGAATTTTCCAATGACCTGTGATGTTCAAGGTTTTCCCCCCAATTATCCCCCGGGTGGCAGGAAGCCACTTCAGAAGGAGCATATTTTTAACTTTGAGTATCTATATTCAAAAGGTGCACATTTAAGTCACTTAAACGTCACCCTTCTGGCTTTCCCGCCAATGCCTGCGAGAGCACAGCTGCTTACCCTTCCTGGAATCACAAGATTGTCAATGCCAATCAAGTCTTTCTTGAGCTCGTGCAGCTTCTGGAAGTTCTCCATCTTGATCATAGTACCGTGGAGCTGGGCCACCATTTCCGTGATCTCTGCCAGAGCCGCTGGTGGATGAAAGAAAGAAACAAATGCGCAGCATTAACAGCAGGCGAGGGCTTTTTCCTTCTAGCATCCTTTTAAGCTCAGCTCTCCAGGGCAATGTCCTGCAGGGGCTGAACTGTGTCCGATGCCGTCCTTCTAGGGGAAACACTGCTACTTATCATAAGTAAAAACCGAGAGGTTTGCTTTAATGGATTTGCTTTACTTTATTTGCTTTGCTTGAGTTTCCCAAAAGCATCTTAGAAATGTAAAATGATCCCTTCATAGCTACGTGGTGTACAGCTGTCCTCAGTCAGACTTGCTTGTTGGCACAGAGGGGAAAACTGCAGGGGATTAAGAGTACCTAGAGTTCTGTCCCCAGGACAGAGATTTTTTTATACACACACCCCTTTCTTTGGAAAGAAGAGAGTACAGAGAAAAATCTGGGCAAAAGAAGGATCTTTCTGGGAGAGAGTCTACTGATAGTGCAACTTCTGAGTAATGAACATTCATTCCAGCACCCCCCAGTATTCCCTTCTGCAGAAGTTATACCGTTTACCAAGATGGTTGCAAAGAACTGCAAAACGAAGCTTTATTTTGCAGTACAGGTGCATCTCTCCTATGCTGGTAGGCATCCACTCTGTACAAGGAGATGCCCAATTAGCACATGCTTGGGTGGCATGCAAAGCCACCGTAGGGCATTTTGTCAAGCAAGCAAGAAATACTTGTCAGCTTAACTCCAAATATCAGAAAACTAAGCACTTCCTTTATCCCAGCACTTCAGCTTTGCAAGGGGAGCATTTCGTTTTCTTGCTTTCCCCCTGGGGATGCAAATTATATGTTTCCTGGCCAATCACAGAGTGCACTGTCTAAGTCACAGTGACAAACCCAAGGCGTGCTCAGTCTTTAGACACTGCCAGCCAGTTTAGTCCAATGAACAATTACTGGGCACCAAATGCTCAGTGGGGTGAAGTGAGGGCCTCTAAGAGGAAGGAGATGGCACCTGGTCCCTTGGGGCTCATGGCACTCCCTCATCCCTGATGTTCAGAAACTGGATGTTCAGGTATACTCTGATTTCCCCAGCCTTTTTACAATGATGCCACCATATGGATTAAGCTACATAACAAAGGCTCTTTCCATTTAATTATCAAGAGCAGACTTTTCTCACTCAGGACTGTTTAGTAAAATGCAAACAGGGCAAGTCAGCCAAGGATAGCACATACAAAACTAAAGACGTCTCACTCCTGGGTAACATATCTGTACAGCTCCAATTCCTCAGAGCTGAATGGCTTTGGGTCATGCTGTCCGGGCAATGCTGATATGACAGGACAAGGAAGGGGGGTGGAGAAGGTCATCCAAGCACAAGGGTCAGGCAGGAACTGAGGCGTAAAGGGGCATTGTGCAGGAAAGGACGGGGAGGTGGGAGCAATGACTCCAAGCAGAGGAACAGAATATGCGAAGGTGTGAGACATGAAGCACCATGGCTTGTCTTAAAGATGGACAAGTCTATAGCAAAACCACCTCACAAGCCATTTCTGTTCTCCGGGGAATTGCCAATGTCTTAATTATTTTGCTAAATCTTCTCTTGGGTTGTCTTTTTAAAAACTAATTTGTAGGCATCTTCTATAAATTCCAGTTATCAACTGAATTTTCTAGAACGAACCCCACATCACCATTCCCCTCCTTTAAAACCCTTCCTGTCTTCCTTTTACTCTTAGATTGAGGTCTGCTAGGGCATATAGACCCATGGGACCTGATCTCTGCTTACTTTTCCAGCCTCATTTCTGCTGCTATCCCTCTACTATCTAGAATATTCCATAGTCTCTGTCCCCTTTGGACCTCTGTGTATGCAGTTCCCAACTCTGCTTCACACTCTGCCCTCATCCAAGAAAACTACTTACACTCTAGCCCTAAACTTAGATACCCTTCCCCTCAGCAAGCCCCCACTAAGCCTAGAAGGCTGGGTCAGAGCCACCAACACTGCTGCACCCGGCACCTCCCTCTCACAGGTCAGGGACTGCCCAGGTACCTGCCTCTGTGCCCGCTAGTGACTTCTGTGAGTAGGGACCACATCCTTCCATCCTGCCTAGCATACCGAGTACTCAGCAGGTGCTCAATGTGTATCTGTTGCATGAGAGACTGGTGGGTGGCACTCACCTCGGCAGTCCCTGAAGTCGGCGTTGCTGGGCGGGTTGTGCTTGCACAGCCGCTCCAGGACCTGCTTGTAGTGCATGAGCCGGTGCAGTGGGCGCAGGAGGAAGGTGTTGAGCGGCAGGTAGCACACCTTCTGCAGCTCGAAGTCTCTGCACAAGTTCTCCAGCCGCCGCGAACTCCGGATGCTGGTCTCCAGCGCCTCCAGCGCCTCGCTGTGCTTCCACAGGTGGGCAGCCAGGTGCTGGCGGGGGCGAGACAAGGGTGGGCAGGGGTCCTGCTCCGCAGAACTGAGTGTGCACGTGGTCCCTGGGGCCCACTGACTTTCGGAAATGAAGATCACCTCCACTTCCCTTCATCTCATTGAATTTCACACTTTTCAAATTTCATTATATTAAGTTCTCGGGATGAAATAAAAAGCTCTATTAAAGCACTGAGCAGTTTAGAATACACGGTTTATAAAAAAAAAAAAAAAAAAGTATAAATGTTCTTTTAAAAACAAGACTGGCAAGACTGAGGGAAAATAAATGAACAGGAGCTCCTTCAGGGGGCCTGTGGTTTTCTTCCATGTGTCGCAAGCATGATACAGTGGGGTCACTATAAACGTCACAGGGCTACAAATATGTATTTCTGATTAACTTCCCAGTTGCTCATACAGTCACTGAGTATCTGCCACAAGCCACCTACTCTCCTAGATTCCAGGGAGCTGGATGAAAATTAGACATGCTCCCTACTCCTCTGTGGTTTGACCAAGATCCTCTGCTTGACTGGACATTGGTCAGGCTCCAGAACCTTCTCCCAGGCCTGTCTGTGCACTTCCCTGTAAATACAGTTTCAGCAAGAACCCTGCTAAGGCAGTCAAACCAGAACCTCATACCCCGGATAGCTGGTCATCCACGACCTCGGGTTCATCTCCCGCCAGCCCTCAGACGGTGCCCGCCCACCCGGCTGCCTTCAGCAAGGACTCCCCCTGCCCGGGGCGTCTCCTCTTAGTACGTTTCCACCCTCGGACCCCAGCCTGCTCCTTGGCTGTAAGCTCCGCTTGCCCACGCTGTATTCAGACACGAGCCCAGTCTCCCCCTCACTGGAAAAGCCCATTGCTGTGGTCCTGCGACTTTCACAGAGGTCCCGAGTAAAGTCTGCTTCACCATCTTTAATAAGGTTGACTATTTTTCCTTCAACACTCGTGGTGGAGACACACGCAGGGTAAAAAGTTTGATGGTAGAGCGTTAGAAGAAGGAATTCCTCCCGGCAGGCAGGGTGCTGCTAATGGGGTGGGGGACAGACGACACCCTAGGACTAGAGAACAGGGTACTTCCCAGGGGCGGCTCACTATCCGTGTGCTGCTGCGAACCCGCGCGGACACTCCCGCCCGACATCTCCACGCCCACGCCCGGGACGCAGTGAGTCCGGACACAAACCCAGCACCTCCTGCCTCACCTGGGGTCGCCCTGTGATCTCTAACTTCAGGATCAGTGCCACCATCAGCCAGTTACTTGGGACAGAAAACCCTGAAGAACAGTCTGGATTCTCTCATTTTTTGAATGCTTCACCAGATCCTACCAGTTCCACCTCCTAAAGCCATCACACCTGTTACCGCCTTCCTCCCCAGGGCTGCAGGGCCTCTGCTGTGCACCACTGGACTGGCGTCTCCACTGGGATCTCTGCCTCCATTCCTCTCCTCTCTACCTCACATCAGCCACCAACACGAGCTGCTTACAATTAAACTGAGCGCATTGCCTCTTGCTTGGGTCCGACGAGAGCTCCCACCATCTTGGGGCAACCCCGAGTCTTTAGCAGGGTGCAGAGGGCTTGTAGGATGTGATCCCTCCCACCCCTCCACGGTCATCTCTTGCTACTCAAGCTGGGCTACCCACTGAATAACCTGCATTTGAATGTACCCGAGCCTCAGCACAGGACACTCCCCTCCTAAGACACCCCCCACCCCAGCCCCGCCTCACCCTCAGGGTTAGCTCTGGGGCCCTTCCCTGATCTCCAGGATGAGTTCCGGACCCATCCATCCTCCTGTGCTTACGCTGTGTTTGTCCACCTTAGCCTTATCACTGGTCCCCCTGTAGAGTTTATTTTGTGACTAGAAAAAAAAAAATTCATAGGAAGTTGCAAAGAAATGTACAGGGAGATCCTATGCACCTTCACAGGGCCTCCCTAATGCTAACATCTTGCATAACAATAGTACAATATCACAGCCAGGAAACTGACCCTGGTAAAATCCACAGGTTATTTGTATCCCACCAGTTACAGATGCCCTCATTCGTGTGTGCAGATGCGTGTATATGTGCATGTGTGCGCGTGCATGTAGTGCAATGCAGTGCTATCACATGAGAGTGTGTGTGTTATGTCACTGCATCCTCAGGGCCTGATATACACAGTAGGTCTCAGTAAATGTCTGCTGCCTGCATGCATGCAGCCGAGGCACCAGTCCTGCAAGGATCTGAGTGTGTGAAGAGGTGAGTTCAAGGTCACTGGAAATAAGAATAGAATATGAAGAGTGGCGAGAGGAGGTCTGGGACGACTGTCCAGGGCTAGAGTGTAAAGGCTTTTTCAGCAGGTTTAGAGTTTGGACTGTACCACAGAGAACCAAGGAGGGTTTTGAGCCTCATCGGCCTGGCAGTAATAGAAATGCTGGTATAAAGGCTCGATGGGAGGGGAGGACACTCAGCAGGAAGCTGGGCGAGTCCTAGGGAGGAGCCGGGGCAGGGGGTGGAGGCCTGGGGAGACCTACGACTCCGGTGGGCATGAGTGAAGGCCCAGCTTGGGTGGCAGGGTAAGATGAAAGGCGAGGACCCCCTTTCTTTGTGTGGATGTTGAAGGGCCTTTGTGCATGTGGGCAGATGTTTCCAGTGCAAGTTCATTACATGGGCCAGAGGTCACAATCTGACTACCTCTGATGCTCAGATGGGGACGGGAGCCGTGGCCCAGCCCCCTCAGACCTGTGCAGGGGTCTGGGAACAGCTGAAGGGTAATGAGAGCATCCTTGCTGAGCCTCCTTGAATGCAAGTAAACACACAGGTTGGGAAGGGGCGGAAAAGACAGTGCAAGTGGGAGATTACCTAAGCATATTTTTTTTGCTCTTTTTAACAAAAATGTTTTTATTGCCTGGCTGAGCATGGCTCAGCGGTTGAGCGTCGGCCTGGGATCCAGGCGATCGGGGTTCGATTCCCGGTCAGGGCACATGCCCAGGTTGCAGGCTCGATCAGTGACTCTCTCATCATTGATGTTTCTATCTCTCTCTCTCCCTCTCCTTTCCTCTCTCTGAAATCAATAAAGATATATTTTAAAAAAATAAATAAAATAAAATAGTTTTTATTTATTTTAAAAAGAAAGGGAGAGGGAGGGAGGGAGAGAAACATCAATTGGCTGCCTCCTGCATGCCTGCTACTGGGGATCGAGCCCACAAACCAGGCATGTTCCCTGACTGGAGTCAAACCAGTGACCTTCTGGTGCATGCAAAGACGCTCAACCACTGAACCACACTGGCCAGGGTGATCGCCTAAGCATTTTGGACAAAAGTGCTAACCTGAGCTTCGGTATCTTCTGCTGTTCCCTTCCACATTTCATAAAAATTCCTTAAAGCAAATGAACAACCATGATAATAATTTTAAAAAATACAGCAATTTCTCCAAAAGTCTACTAGTGAGACTCTGAGCCTCTCCAGCTATTTTTATTTTGCTTGCAGAGCTTTGTGCTGTAAATGCTCGTGTCATCGGCACAATAACTAAAATGCCAACACAGCTGCGGAAGCTGACTAAATGCAAAAATGCCAACTCACCAGACTGAGGAGAAAGAATTGTTTGAGCGGAAATCAGGTATATTTTTAGGGCTTATGTGCTACGTGAAGGGAGGGGAGGGTGGATGTCTACTGAATGTCAGCTCTCGGGGCAGTCAGCAGACAGAGCGTGAGGGCCACAAAGGAGAGCTGGCAAACAGGAGCAGTCTGGGGACTATCCAGGGGGGCTGCGGAAGGAGCTGGCAGGTCTCCACTGATGCCCCCAGAGGACCACGGCAGTGTCCATGCCTCCTTGAAGGGAGTAAACTCAGGCTTATAATTTCAGCTGAAGGGAACACACTGAGAAAAGGCAAAAAACCAAACGGGGCCAAGAAAAAGTACAGAACATGGGAAAAGAGGCTTCCTATGAGAAAAAATAATTGGGAAGTACAACAGTAACAAAAGCACACCACAGAAGAGAGCAAAAAGGATATTTTTGACAAGTGACAAAAGCCAGTCTGAACAGGCTACACAATTTCAACTACAGGACATTCTGAAAAGACCAAACTATGGAGACAGTAAAAGATCAGTGGTTGGCAGGGGTGGAAAGGTGGGAGGGGTGAACAGGAGGAGCACAGAGGATTTTTAGGGCAGTGAAGCAATCCTGTATGACACTGTCATGGTGGATACGTGACATCATGCTCTTGGCAAAATCCATGGAATGTACAACACATAAAGTGCATCCTAATGAACTATGGATTTAAATTAAAAAAATGTTTTTATTGATCCTTGAGAGAGGAAGGGAGAGGGAGAGGGAGAGAGAGAAACATCGATGTGAAAGAGAAACAGTGGGCTGCCTCTTGCATACCCCCTACTGGGGATGGAGTCGGTAACCTCGTGGTGCAAGGAAGGGCACCCAGCCAACTGAGCTACACTGGCCAGGGCCCTACATTAACGTATCAATATTGGTTCATCACTTGCAACAAATGTGCCACACAACTAAATGCAAGATGTTAATGGGGAGGCGCTGTGTGTGTGTGTGTGAATGTGATGGTGGTGAGAATATAGGATTATTATATATTATAATTACTATAATATATATATTAATTTTTTAAAAACCACATGGACAGTGAAAAGATGTCTGTTACTGTTTCATCTGAGTTTTGTACATCAACCTCACTCGTAGCATTAACAATATGATAGTTGTAGAACACCTTAGATAATTCTTGCTCTTTTTTTGCATGGGATGCTGTAATCTTGATCACTTCCATGACTTCTCTCTGATATTGCCCAAAGGGAGGAGTGTTACTTTTTGAACACTGTGAAAAGGCAAGCTACAGCTCAGGGTCTGTTAAATAATATCTTGGTCTTTGTTAAGAGAAACGAAATCTCTGGAGAAGCTTTAAATCCTATCTTTTCTGTGCCATGCACCTCTCCCCTGAAATCCTCTCATCCTATCTCGTGAGATTTATAATTCTCAAGGGGAAAAAAATTAAACTCCAAACAACTTAGCCAGATTCTTGGGAATTAATTCAACCCTGAACAGTAACTTTTATTCTATGAGTACCTTATACGTAGTAGGTACTCAGCTAGTACTGGATGGATGGGTAGATGGACAGATGAATGGCTGGATGTTTGGACAGAATGAAATGGTGGAAGAATGAGCAACCTGCCTTCTTTGGGGGGTTATCAGCTTGCTCTGGGCAGTTATTAGTTAAGGTTATTAGACAGGCTCTGGGCAGCCAAGAGACAGGAAGATTGCTTTAAAATGTGAATGCAGATGTATTGGTATGCAAAAAATAAATTGTGTGAATTAAAATATTCTGTGTTAAAGGAATTATTCATGGATTAAACTGAAAATACAAAAATGAAAGTTTCAGATCTAAGAGATAGGGCCTATTTCAAAAATGAGGTAAAATAGTGATTCAATATGTATGTACTGACTTCTTTGGGCATGTTTTCACTCCCCTGTGTCATTGCAGACATTGCTGGATGGCTAAAAATATATTTGCCTTGTATACTGACTTTTTAAAGTCATAGACTTGACTGGAATGGCTGCAGAGCTTCAAATCCAGCATCGGTGTCATGCTTACAAAGCCCAAACAACTGACTAAAAATGAAATGTTCAGGCAACCAAAGTTCTGTCTACTTAGTTTTGTAAAACAAGTTTTAAATGATCTGTTTACAGAAAATACCTGTTGTTTTGGTTACAATACAGAGCTTTTGAAGAGAAAATGTAAGAAAGTGCTTCTTCCCCCAAAGGGATTAGATTTTCTCTTATGCTCCAAAATGAAATTATCTAGAAAGGACAGCAGAGTTTACCCTGCTCTGTGGTAGGTGCAGACGGTCCTATCGGGTACCACGTGTTCATGGACAGGCTCACGGCTGGCTGACTCCCGCAGCCCCAGCATATTTTCCCCAGGGAGCGTGCTCAGCCCACACTCCAAAGCAGCTCACCTTCATGGCCTGAACGTTCTTCAGCATGACATCTCCGATTCTGTGGTAGTCTCCTCTGATGTGGGCATTTGAGCGGCCTTCCCTGAAGGCAAAGGTAAAGGGTTGGAAAGCAAAATGTTAGCACCGAAAACATAACTGGAAAATGTCCCAGCCCTAGATCACAAAATATCAAAATCGAGGTCTTCCTTCCCAATCCTTCTCTGGGTGTTGTCACAGAATTAGCACTGTCAGGAAATTTTGATATGACCCCAGTCGTTCTGCAGTCAGTGAATTCCATTTGCACTTTGAAAGAGACATGGCAGACCATCTTCTGACCATTTTAATTTGGTCTCATTTTACATTTTCTTTCCACCCATCCATATGCTTTAGTGTCATTAGAACAGCACACAGATCACTTATAGTAACAAGCTCATGAAAGCAAGTTCATCCCACAGGCTGGGACTAACAGACTCTTGTAAGAAGCAAGATTTAGCCTCAAAATTCAAGGTTTCTGCCCAGCCGGTGTGGCTCAGCAGTTGATCATCAACCTATGATCTAGGAGATTGCAGTTTGATTCCCTGTCAGGGCACATGCCCAGGTTGCGGGATCGATCCCCAGTGTGCAGGAGGAGGCCTATCAATGACTCTTATCATTGACATTTCTATCTCTCTCTTCCTCTCCCTTCCTCTCTTTGAAATCAATAAAAATATATATATATTTTTTAAAAAATCAAGGTTTCTGCTCCCAAGAGCCCTTAGCATGAAGCATACAAGGAACTGTGTGAAGAGCCCTCAGGAAGAGAAAAGTATAAATGAGAAAGTGCAGGAGGCCCATGCATGGAGGTGAGAATGGGAAATGATCCAGAAGAAGGGAGGATGGGTGTCCCAGGTACAGAGAAGGGCAGGGAGGAGAGGGACCGAGGTCCCCCAGACATGCTGCGTGGGCATTTTCAGTGAGTATTTAGGTATATATTCACATTTCTTATAGCTTAGTGCTTTCTCTGATGTTGATAATCCAGGGGCTTAACAGAGAGAAAAGTAACAATAATAGTAGCTGGTACTTACTGAGCAAAGTCCACTGTGCTGGGCACATTATGGACATTAACTCATTTAATGCTATTGGAAGAGTATGAGGCAGGGGCCATTATCACCCCCATTTAACAGCTAAAGAAACTGAGGCACAAAGAAACGGCATAACTTGTCTAATGTCAGTTATCACGAGACAGTGAGCTCTGAACTTGAGCCCAGGACTCTAGTTGGAGTCTACATTCCTAACCATGATACCAGTGCATATCTGTGATGACAGAAAAGGAATTTCTCAGAGCCCGGCCAGTGTGGCTCAGCGATTGAGCATGACCTATGATCCAGGTGATCTCGGTTCGATTCCCAGTCAGGGCACATGCCTGGGTTGTGGGCTCGATCCCCAGTGGGGGGCGTGCAGGAGGCAGACGAGCAATGACTCTCTCCTTATTGATATTCCCCCCCCCCCAAATCAATTAAAAAAATGGAAAAAAAAAAATTTCTCAGAGATGATTAAAGCATGATTTTCAACAACCAACCAGGCTAATAGCTTCGAACCAACTATTCAGAATGGCGAGAAGCCAACTTAAGTGAAATAAATGAATTAAAAAGAAAAAAAGGTAACAATCTGGGTACAACGCTTCTGGTCAGAAGCAAGAAGTGTTCAGAGTGGAAAAAAGTACCTGATCCACAAGCCAGGGGGGACCGTGATTCACCCCTACAGATGCCACCACTAATACACCTCCTGCACCGAGAGACACGACTCCCATCTCAGGGGAAGCAGCTGGAGCCTCCAGAACCCTTGACTTCATTACTGATTCATCAAGTGTCTCGGGTGGGGAGGGGAAAGCAGGGGGAATGTACCTGCTACCAGGGGATAGAAAAGCCAGGACAGAAAGACACAGAGGGGCTGGCTCCTCATGCAGCTCGGGCTGCCCTCGCATACCACGCCATTTATTCCATTGGTTCTAACTGAGCATATGTTATAAATTACATCATAGGGGAGACAGGGCATCCAGACCTATCAGGCAATTAAAACTTCTCCAAAATATAAGAGGGGAGAGCATCCATTATGCCCCCAGCCAATCCCTGGGCCTTCAGTGTCTCCCCAAGGCTCTGACTCTCGGTAACCGATTCTATTCTGGTCCAGCTGGAAGTAGAATCCATTCCCCAACCCTCGGCTCCCTCCTGCTGCCAAAAGAAACACTGCTGGCAGACTGCCCTAACGACGGCTCACGTCTATAGACTGAAACACGAATTCTATCCTCGCGACGCCTGAAAGGGCTGTGTGGGAGGGAGACGGCCATTACCCTCTCGATGACCTAAACCATTCAGGCATCACCACTCCTGCTCCTGGCCAACCTCTCTGGGCTCGTTGGCCCCAAACTTCCTGGTCCTCTGCTCTTTAGCTTCTGGAAGCCTCTCTCCAGGCTCCCTGGTCTCTCTTTAGGTCAGTTCTTCACCTCTCTTTGCCAGCTCCTCCTCTTCAGGCTGCTCCTGAGCTGTGTTTTCGTTGGTTATCTTCTCTCTTCACTTTCTACTTCTTCCTATGCCGTCCTTTTATTCCACACGGTTTTAATTCACGATGCGAAATCTATATCGAAACGTTCTTTGTAGCTACTGATCCAAGCACTGTATCTCTTATACCTTCTGGAGGGATCTACATGAATGACCCCACAGGTATTTCAAACTCAAGATGCTCCACAGAGTTAATTATCTTGTTGCCCAAACCCAGTCCTCTTCCTACATTTTATTCCTTCACGATGTACCTGTTCTGTCCCCATCTCAAGCTAGAAACCTCAATTATCCTCACTCATCTGTGTCTCAGATCCCCAGCCACTGAATCAAACTCTACCCCCGAGCAGAGAAAGCTCAAGCACGAGTTAGGCCCGCTGTGCTCCAGACACAGCCCTCAGCCCGCCGCTCGCCACTGCACAGCGCTCCACACCATCAGCTGCAGGGCTGAGGTACCCCTGGATTTTGGACCAATGGTTATTAATCAAGTTGCTATGGAGAAGTTTATCATTTGGCCATTCTGTTGATCCTGACAGGTGCCTAGGTCTGGTTGAGAACTTACTGGTTGCTCTTCTCCTTACCACTGGGAGCAGAAAGGAGCTCCAGCCCAGACTGGAGGCTTTCTGCTCTTTATAAGCGCCCAGCCCCCTGCACCTGCACCATCCCACAGTGCTCTTCTAGGAGCTGAAAAGCTCTCCTTCCTTCTCCCCACTGCCCCTCATGCCTGAACAACAAAAGAGGACCCAGCTACTGAGCCAGAATGACCTGATTTTTTTTTTAATGTTTCTATTGATTTTTTAGAGATAGAGGGAGAGAGAGGGAGAGAGAGAGAGAAACATAGATGAGAGAGAACCATCATTAATCAGCGGCCTCCTGCAGGCCCTCTAGTGGGGATGGAGCCTGCAATCTGGGCATGTGCCCTGACTGGAAATCTAACCGTGACCTCCAGGTTCATAGGCTGACACTCAACCACTGAGCCACAACAGCCGGGCCAGAATGACCTGATTTTGACTAAATATGACACATCAATAAAAGGAGGCAAAACACAATTTAGACTTGATTTGTGGGAATGTAGCTATTATCTGGAACCTAAATAATTGACCCCAGAACTTTCAAATGGACATGTCATTTGACAATGCATGTAAGATCTTCAGCTATTTCGAAGGACATGAATCAAATATTTTAGTGAGAGTCCTCTGGACTGGGTAGGCAAGGGGAGAAATAGGGGTCTCTGGCTTCTATTGATAACGAGCAATTTCCTCCCTCTCACAGATAATGCCGGGGCCCAAGGGAAAATGAAGTGCTGGAACGCAGACACTGGGGGAGGGGTGGAGAGCGCTGGTGGAAGCCAAACTCCACTGACTTCACTTCCTTTCTTCTCTTGCCAAGTATTTATCAAAAGAAAATGTACTGATGTGAAAACCCTAAACTGAAGGGGACATTCTTCCTGCATTGCCTTGTAGCAGAGCCCTATCTGTTCCTCTAAGTCTGTAGCATCTTTACTCTCCTTTTACAAACTGCTCTGGGTTAGTATCATCAGTCCCCTGTGTCGCAGGGAAGGCACAGGTATCAGTGAGTTCGAAGGGGGCAGCTCTAGGTGGTGTAGTGAAACCAGGCGGGGCCTCTGAAGTTAGTGTAACCAGTGCAGGCAGCTCTGCTCCCCCCGCCCCCGCTGTCCTCTCTCCTGTGCAGCGCACACAAGTCCCAGCCCTGCGTGGTTCAGAACCAGTCAGGCTATGAGAAAGGGGACAAAGCCCGAAACTCCTGCTGCCTCCTATAGAAATACCACCATGTTATTACTTCCTCTACATGTGAACACCACCCAGTCAACAAGCCCAAAGCAACTGCTTTATTGTGAAGAGCTAAAAGGTCACTTTCTTATCGAGAACATGAAAAAGTAATTATGGCTCTTCTGGAACATCCTCCGGATGTCCACCTCACAAGAAAAGGGCCCTTGTTCAGGAGGCAGGGCCACATATTTGTTGTGTGTGTAATTACTGCATGCGAGACAACAAAGCTGAAAATTCTTTTGACAATTTCAGTTTGGGAACCCAAGTACTGAGTAGCCTTCTAGATGCTAAATTCTGACCTGTGCACCATGGTTAATGTGCTCTTGGGATCAACATGTGATCTTAGCAGAGGGTTGAAAACACATACACACACAGACACACACCCCTTCATGAATCTCTGAGTCTTAGACCCTCTGGGACACTTCATTCACCACTATGTGAGCTGGTCAGTAGCTTGGCAGCAGCCAGACCCAGGAAAGAGGAGGGAAAGGACAAGAGAACAACGCCCAGTTCTCTGGAAGGGCTGCTGACCAACAGTGAGGCCGAGTACCTGTCTACAGGCGGGTGGGGAGACCTTGCAGGGCTTTGACTCTTCCCATCAGGAAACACTTTTAGTGGCTGGAGATGCAGATGGGGGGGGCAAGGCCAACAGGATAAAGCACCATTCTGCACCCCCAAGGTCAATATAAAATCCACATGGAACCCTAAAAGGAACTGAGTTTACAGTGTGCTGATGACCTCACGGGTGATAAAATCCCTGACTATGGAACACGCACCGC